CAAGTAACACCTTTTAATTTCCCTATGATCTCATTTGAGATCAGTTTTTATTCCTTGCGACCATCCAGATTGCTCGTAATGGGTGTTGATGTGAATGCTATTCTAGATATTAGTATTTTGTATATTGCGTGAACCCTGTTGAGTGATTAATGGAATATGATCTTCTTACCTAATCTTTTGTTCTTGTGCTCATTTGAAATTTATATTCAGATGCTACTTGAAGCTGTATGATTCTCCTCCAAAGTCGGATGCAGAAGAAGATGACGAAATGTCAAAGTTGCCTCCTTCTCAAAAGAAGAAACTGAGACAAAAACAGAGGAAAGCAGAGGCCCGAGCCAAGAAAGTAAGTGAGCTTGTAGATTTTCAACAAAAAATTACAAAAAATTTTGACAATAAATTTCACGTTTTTTAGGAGGCTGAAGTGAAAGAAGAAACAAATGTTACTGCAGTATCAAAATTTGGAAAACGCCCAGTGAAACCAGTAGATTCAGACCCAAGCGGTGAAAAGTTATTAATGGTATTTTGGCCATCTATACATTGGATTCACTTGCTCATGGATCTTTTAGTTGATAGTCTGGTTTTCTTCTTGCTTTTGGATTTCTTAAATCCTGTCCTAATTCATATGTTCAATTATCATTTAGCTGAGTGCCTTTTTTGGTATTGTTGATAATCTTTGCTCAGAATTGGAATGATTATGTGAGAATAGCTGAGTTCGTTTTTGACTTGCGAGTATAAATTGTAGGTTGAAGATCCTTTGATGGAAGCTACGAAGTATTTGAAGCTGCTTCAAAAACATTCATCTGAGTCCATTGAGACACATTTGCTTTCCTTCGAAGTAAATATGAGAAAGCAGAAAACTTTACTTGCTTTGCAGGTAAGTTTATAATTCTGAGTTCAGAATGAAACTTCTTTTTTCCACCTAAATTTTACTCGTCAGTCATCAAATACTGTTTCATTTAAACTGGATTTGTAGCTAGGAAATCTTCTCAAATGATATTTGAAAAAAATGCAACAATAATATAAATCTTGAATTGAAGCCTTTTCTTTCATGAATGGTACTTTCTCCCATCTCTTTGACCTGCCATGAGGATTATGTCAGCAAATGAATTCATTACACGTAATTTCTCCAGTCCCTGGATAGGATCTGGTAGATATTAAACTTATCGTCTTGTTATTTCGAGGACATGTACGAAAGTGATCTTTCTTATCTGCAGGCTGTGAAGCATCTGCTGAGGTTGGATGCTGAACACCCAGATTCGCATCGTTGTTTGGTATGATTTGATAGTGATCTGGTGCATTCATTCTTAGAAATTTGTTACTGAGAGAATGTTTATTACATAAATGATATATTGAACGTGCGTATAATGTGTCTGAAATACAATTTCTTTGTTGTCCCTAAGTACCTTCATCATTGTTCATCTTAAGTTCGGTTTTTTGCAGATAAAGTTCTTCTCTAAAGTGGGATCCATGTCTGCTCCAGTGACTGATGCTGAGAAGCTCATATGGGGTGTCTTGGAAGCAGAACGACCTACAATTAGGTTCTTTTGATCCATTGGTTCTCATTTTTCTTCCTTTTCTTGGGGGATCAATATCCTTCCTGGTTGAAGTGCATCAATTTGTTTGACGTTAGAATATTCTACTGAATACTTCCGTTACTTAATATCCCGTGCGTATTTTTTATTTCAGTCAGTTGCATGGTAAATCTCTAATTGATGCAAACACCTTTTTCCTTGAGAAACACGGAGGTCAGCATCTTACTGGTTCATGTATGTCTAGAATTGTCCTGTAATTGTCATGATCATATTATTGATATAATTTTTGTTCTGTTTTCTTAGCAGATTCGTTGATGCACAGAGCAGCTGTCGCAGAAATGCTATATGTTCTGAAACCAAATAAGAAGGGTGAGGCAATCACCTTGATTGAAGGATCAACTAACAATCTGGTTTCAATGTAATGTCCTTAAAAAATTGTTTAAAATATTTACAATTATTTAGTTTGCACAATATCTTATAAGACATTGAACATTGAATCTTCCTGTTTTAAATAAACTAGAAATGTAGCTATGGGAGCAGTCAGAAAGTGGAGGCTCAAGGACTGTATTGCAGTCCACAAGCTATTAGACAGAATTATAAATGACCATGATGCTGCATCGAGTGAGTTCTTGTTTTCTTATTCTTTTATTTTTCATTCTCTTTGATTATTCATTCTCTTATTTGTATTTTGATGCTCTCATTGATTTTGAGTTTCCATAGGAAATTAACAGTGGATTGGATACCTTGACAAATAGATGTACTCCATTATTGTATATTTAGTCTTTAATCATGCAAAAAACTTGCTGATGTTAGATTGCCCACATCCTTTCTCGTGTTGATCTTTTGCGCCTCACAATTAGTACCTTTCACATTTCAATGACATTATTATCTGTGGATCTCCCCGACCTCTGAGCTTAAAGTTTTTTTTCTTTAAATAAATAAATTCAAGTTCCTCAACTTTGAAATGAATGAACTTGTGAGTGGGGTGTTTACCTTTAATTCAAGAAGGCGTAATTTTCCATACATTGATTGCTTTGGTGCTTTTCTTTTTCCCCTTTTAACTCCTGCATTAAAGTAATCTGTTTCTCCACTTCATTTAAATTTACGCATAGCTTGCTCCTCCTAGCTAATCTTGAATTGTACTTGTGGAGAAGTTAGGTTTTGTCCACTTTTCAAGAATGTTGTAAACAATGGTTTATCGACTATGTTCATATAGTAGCTGGTTGTGTTGCGTGTCATTCAGAAGCTTGAAGCCCTAGGCAGGTTAATCATGCTTACAAAAAAGAATGGTTTAGCTAAATTTCTCGGTTTGATTGTTCCTTTATTTACTGAGAATGAGGAACATCTTTTATTGGTATCCGACTAATAAGATAAAAAATTTACATGCATAGTGCTGAATTGATATGCTTTTATAGGATGGAAGGTGCGTTGTGCTGAGTGCTTCCCATATTCAACGTACTTTGAGGGCAGCCGCAGCTCTGCTGTCACAAGTTCGACTTCCCAACAAATTCCAGAATTACCTGAAAATGGTTGTGGTTCTGACATCTCCACCTCTGATCAAAATTCTGTCTCTCTTTCATCAAATGGAAAAGTCGATAAACTCGTGGCATTCAAGGATCTTGTTGTCCAATAGTGTACGTGAATCTCCTGGTTAGGTAACAGGTCCAGATGATTCGAGTAAAAAATCCATGATGCGGCTTCGAATACGTAATTAACGGAAAGGGAAATCATCCTTGAAGACGAGTTGAGATTTAATTAGAAATGTAGGCAGATCCCTGTGGGGAGGCGCTCGATAATTTTCTGTTTCCATCAGTTCTTGGGCATTCCATTGCAAATGTGTGATTTTCACTTCGTGTTTTTTGGCAGTTGCATCCTGTAGTTCCTGCCGAGATACCGAAAAGAGGTTCTTTGGGCTTTGCATTGCACTATTCTGAACAGCATGATCTATGGAAGTTTAAGCGAACTGGTTCTACAACCATTCCCAGGAGCATGTTGTACTTATTTCATTATCTATTATTTTGTGATGTACAAATGTTATTTTACAGGAGAAAATTTTGTTGAGATATTTATACAAATAAATTTGTATAAGAAATACTACCTGGTATTTTGCTACAATTAAGTGCCCATTTTATTCTCCCTTTTTTTTTAATAATTCTATTTCAACAGAAGAATATCACAGAACTTCACCGGAAATTTCACATGGAGGTGGGTGCCACTGTGAATAAAATATTGTAAAAAATGTCGGGCTTTTTGTGAGTGTTCTGGCCGGCGTCTGTGTGTAGTTGGTTCTGCAGACATATAGTGTAGTAGTACCATAAGGGAAGAGTGCAAAAGTTGACGTAATAAGCATTTTTTCTATTTTTAATATCATTAAGCATTCTAGATTAATGAATAAATAAACTTCATACATATTTTTTAAGTTTCCGGAAAAAATAAGTATTCCAGATTAATGAATAAATAAAATATCGCAAGAACTTCATACATATTTTTAAGTTTCCAAAAGAAATGATTCTCAAAATCATATAACAATGATCATTTGTTTTTGTTGGATTTATTTCCTTTTAAAGTTTTAATGTTTGAGCATTTTGTTGGTTCGACTTTAAAACAAGAAAATACCACTTGTCAAACAGAAAGGTGGGCTCTTAGGCATATCCGCGTCTAGGAGGTGTCTATATAGCCCTTTAGAATATTAGTAATTTGACACGTGGAAGTTTAATAATTGAATTATTGAAAACTTTCATGTATTATAATATTACGTTGAACTATCTTACTTAAAAGCTTAAGCTATGCTAGTCAATTGCAAAGAATATTATTGACTTCCGAAAAAACTAAAACAATAAGGTGTCATATACTGTTTTCTTCATTCTATTTGAGCAGTTCTTGTCTTGTGAGTCTGTGACTGGTGCTTATTTGAGACATAGGCACCACAATTGCACTCCAACCTTTTATTTTTCCTCTTCTTTTGATGGAAAATCGGTTGTGCTTGATGCACCATCAGTTGCCATCTACGGGCAGTCTCACCGAGTTAAGACGAAATTCTCTTTGCAACATGTTAATTTCTTGTAGGACGGACAGCAATTTTCTGATGTTTTTCATCGAAACATATGGGAAAACTGATCAAGTTGGTACTGAGGACACAAGTTTGTTGTTGAACTGTAATATATTTGCTTTCTTTCAGGGCCATACTCTTCAATTGAATATGAATAAGCAAAAATAATAAAATTATTGAGTTAACACCCAGTTTTACAGCTTAAAATTTGATCATCATAAACACCAAGATGTCGAAATTTCCTTCTAGCTTTGCTTTCATTTTATTTCATTTACGTAACATAATTGAATGGTAACATTTGAGATTATAAAAGGTAATACTTCAAAATCTTCATGTCACAACTCTCTGTTTAGGAAAGCTGAGTTTTTACAAAAAAAAAATTCTAAGCTTTCTACACGAACAAGATTTCAAAATCAAGGTCACGGCTTAAGATACTGTGAACTAAGGTTTCTTCTCATAATCTGCCAAATCTCAACATCATTTCCTCTATCGTATTCTACCACATATTGTGGAATTTCTGTAAGGTTGATGCGCTTGCCCACAAAGCTACGTGAACTTTTGTTTTTAATATCATCTTCTGCATGATACATTGTGGCAAAGCATTAGAAAAAAAAAATGTCATAATGAATAAAAATAGTTGTGGCCCTGTTACTACAAATGCTTTGAGATTGTTTACCTTCATCGTCTTTAAGATAACTGCGGAAATGAGAATAGCCATTTGCAACAACATCAAGATTATCGAGAGTGAAGTTGTAACGCTTTTCAAGAGCCAAATATAACACCTGAAAAAACAAATAATCACGTGATACATTTTCCACTGCTTCAGGATATAGATTCATTTCCTTCTAATATAGCAACTGTATTAAGGAAATCTACCTACTAAGCATGTGTTTGGCTAAGCTTGAAATTAGTTAGAAGTTACTTCTGAGTATTAAACGCGTTCAAATGTTACATTTTTCTTACTTCAAGAAACGTTATTAATTTAGAAAGTAACTGTAATTTAGTGTCAAAATAAATTACTCGTTTTCACTTGTGATCAATAATAAGTTCACTTATAGCCAAACATGCTTATGCTTCACACAGTGGATTCACTGACCATGGAACTCCCCAGTTTACGGAGATGAAGTTGCTATAAAAGAAGGATTAGGATCAGCTATACCCTCATGGTCACTGTCAGATATGAATATAAGTCCATGGAAGGTAGGACAGATCATTATTACGCTGTTATATGATTTCTAGTGCGGCTATGAAAGTTACTTATTGCTGGAAATTCCAATTTTCTGGTCGTACCTTTTCTGGATTTTTGCACATTAGTAACTCCAGTATACTGAAGAATGCATCAGTTAGGTCATCACTATAAATTACATCAGCAGCTACAAGCAAGTTAGCTCTTTGAATCTCTTCAATTTCTGATATGCTCCATCCATACCTGGACATAATGACTAAAGTTATATATTTCACTTGTTGTAGAAACAGTAAATAAAAGAAATGATAAAACAAGCTGGAAGCCACATGACAACATGCCGTAAACATAGTAATTGAACATGGTCCAGGCATCAAACCAGCGAGGGGACTAGGTCCATGGTTCATTGGTTCTACCACTGAGTCTACTCATTGAACCTAAGGGCGCGTCCCAGAAAATTAAAATTGATATCCATCTAATGGTTGGATATAAAAATATCATATAAATAGATATTTAATAAATTCTAATTCACCGTATTGCTAAAGCATGTATCATGCAAAATTAAAAGTTGAGATTTTAACGTTCTTATGAGCCCCAGTTCATTATTTACTTCAAAAAAATAAATTAGAGAGTTAAAAAAATGTAGGTTGGGATGATAAGAAATTTAAATTCATTTAGTGATAAAAGTCTACGGTTTAATAATTTTGGACGTGTGGTTAAATTTTAAATGAGTTATTGGTAACAAAATAATAGCCTGGGTAATTAATTGATGTTCCAGATTCAAAATCTCTAGATCTCAAGTTCATACTACATAATAATGTCAAACAATTTTCAGGTGACCAGGTAGGTCTTAAAATGGGCCAGATCAACCACATTTCTGTGATGAAAAGGCAGGTTCAATGACTTCCAGTCCAACAGGCTGTTATGGCTGCAAGGAAAAACTACCTTTGCTGCGATGAGGACCTTTCGAGGACTTGAGGGGGCCATGGAATGTTCCAATCAAGTTCACGTGCAAAGACAGACGCCTTGGTGCCGAGTACTCCAGCATTGAGACGAATATTCTCAGAACAGTTTTGAAGCACTTCGTCACCGTGGTCTGCAAGAAATGACTGGTTGAGCAAAAAGTTAATATAGTAAAATATGAATAAATAATACTTTTTGTATCCTAGAGGACCCTGATTCTGGGTAAAACTTCTGTAAATTGGCTGCACTCCTTTGGTGCAGATCAAATACCATATCAGTTTGCTGAAAAAAATAAAAGAGTACTCTAGAGGCACATAAAACTTTGCATGCATGTTCATACATGAAACAGCATAATACAAAGCAGTCGTGTTTCAGCTTTATCCAGTTTTGGTTGGCTTTAAAAGGTATGCTTAGTCAAATAATTTTGTCAAGGCACTGCAGAAAAGTTACTAAGAATATAATACGATGAAAATATATCACTTTGTTTATTTCACAGATTTAATTAATGTCACACCTGTTATGTAGACAGCTTTAGCAACACGCGCAAGTAAGATGCCAACCAACCCTGGGAAGGACAATGAAACAAAACCTTGTCATTCAAGAACTAATAATGTTTTAAGATTCATGATCCGTAGAAAACTTGAACATATCAATAGAAACTTCCCCTGGCATTTTGCAAAACGAGTTGTAAAGGTTTCTTGATGAATCACTAACTCCAAACCCTATCACAACTTGAATATGAGCAGAGAGGTTAACCATTTAACTAGGCACGAGAACCTTTACCTGTGCCAGCACCAAGTTCTACAGCCACAATTCCATGAAATGCAGATGATTTATACATCATATGCAACACAAAGTCAGCTAATACCAATTCAGCTCTCCAGACCTGAAAAGAGAATGGATAGATATAGCACATAAAGTCATAAACGAAGCAGAAGCATTATATAAAGCTCGTTAAACCAATGACTTTCATGAAGAAGACAAGAAACAACAATTACGAGTTTATTCATTAAGCAAAAAGCTGATGTTGATACATCATTGTTAAAACACGACAACCTGTTCATTTATTGAGGATGTGGAGAGAGAGAGAGAATCGAAGGGAATGTTTAATGAAATCAAACAAATAATTACACTGGGACTTTGATCTTATTACCTGCAAACCAACTCTTGGAATTGATGAAGTGATATTATGCTGGATGCTGATAACAAAATAATCCTGGGATTTTTCTGCGAATTGGAAAAATGATTACTAAAATTAATCAGTTAGCTTTTCTTTGGCTTGGGAGGGACTATGGAGTCATTCAGAGGTCCTGTGAAAACACAAGAGGCACTTCTATCGCAACATTTGTGGATCCAAATACAGTGTTCACACTAAGGTCAGTCAGGCACCCACCCCAACAGTATCAATTGATACTGAGATGAATATGTCCATCCTATGGTTAGAAATTAAACATTTGACTCATTGATAGATTACCTAAAATTGTAAACCGAAGAGAATCACTCACTCACTGATTGATTTATATTTATCTTCAATGTAGTCCATATTCATGAAAACTAACATACTTTGGTGCACCTAAATAATACTGATTTCCAATATTGAAATCCATTGTTGATATTTCACCTACCTACACGGATTGCAACATATTCACTTGATCAAGAAACATAATTCTTTTTCTGGGATACTACTAAAACGAGTAAAAACATAATAGAAAAAAGGCAAAACACACAAAATGACAATGCTTAGTCTTCTTCCTTTTTTTTTTTTGTTTATTGTTGAGAATAACTTACTTTTTCGTCGAGCTAGTATAAGATCGCCATCTTCATCCAAGCTACAAACTTTAGCCCCCATTGAATTCCATTGATCTCGGCGAGAGCTCTCAATAGTTTCATTTTCTGCATAATTTAAATCCACACAATTCCCATCAATAATTCAGAAACAAATTTCCATCAACAAATACACTTGCTCTAAATGAAGTGTCATTCATCCCCAACACAAATCACAACAAATTCTTTCTTCTGATTAACATTAGCAAGAACATAACGCGCCTCAGCATTAACATCTAGACAATTAAAGTAGAATAATGATTGACGAAGGTAAAACTCTTACGTGGTGGAAGTAAGATAGTGAAGTAAGAAATATGGGGGGCAGAGTGATTTGGGGGACATCCAAGGTGAACATCGCTCATCACTTGCTCCTCCACCGAATTGCCATCGTCAGACGGTGGTGATGGCGTCGCCGGTGACGATGCTCGTCCTCCCTCTTCACATTCCATTGATTTTCCAGTACGAGATTTGTATAGACCGGAAGTAATTGAAAAGCAGATTTGGCTAAGAAAATTTATTTAGGAAAATAGGGGGTGGCCTTTCAAATGATATGATTTTTTGGCTCAAAGTGACGGATTCTCGAACTTTTTAAAGCCGATTTGGCTTAATTTTTTAAAATTTATTTTTAATTACACGTTTCAACCAGGTTATAATTTTTTTTTATTTTTTTAATTATATATTTTATAAACTTTTATTAAAATATATCAAAACTCTAAATTTTAGTTAAATCAAACGAGCTATTTTTGTTTTTTCTCCTTTTTTGGGTATAGATTTTTTTTTTTCAAAGGGTGGAATTGTTTGGTACTTTAACTGTATTAGATTGTTATATCCCTATAATTGTATCGTTTCTCAAGTTTACGCATTGTTTCAATGAAAACCGTTGTTTTTAGTTTTGGAGTTTCAGTCCTCGAAATTGTGAGTGGCAAGAAAAATTATAGCAGCTATTCCTCAGCCAGCTAAATCTTATATGTTACATGAGTCCCAATTTAACATATCCTTGCATTACCTTGCATTTTTCTTTTATAAATCCTGATTTGAAAATATTTCAATAATATTTTTCATTAAAACTTAACTCTTTCAGGCATGGGAACTTGGGAAGGAAGAGTTCTAGAACTAATGGATTCAAGACTGGATGATCAGAACCTAAAGGATGAAAACATGAGATGTACTAATGTGGGTCTGCTATGTGTTCAAGACCATGATGTAGACAGGCCCCCCGTGACAGACTTTGCAACTATCGTCGCCAAACCAACCAACATTCTTTATTGAGAGCCGTGCACCAGAAATCAACTTAGAAAAGAACTGCACCAACGAATTGTCAATTTCAACGATGGAAGAAAGATAAGGGTGTTTGTTGCTCCTCACGTCTATATATGGATGTTTTGAGTGTGAAACTAAATAAACGTTATGAAATGGGCGTTGTCTTATGATCTATTATTGTAGCAAAAAATGCCGTAACAATTAGGGCAATAGTTGACAATGATTTTGTTTGTTAAGACTCTGTTGTCAGTCCTCAACACAGTAGACCAGTCCAATTGATATTTTGTTTAGTGTCTGGTTTGTCATGATTAAGATTGATAGAAGAGGGGAGTAGTGGACCTACCGAGACTATCTCGCTCCACGTTATGCTTCGGAGATAAGTTCCACATTTGAATTAGAATACTACTTTCTGGACTTTCTGGAGGACTTGATGTCATCATCAATCATTGTTCGGGTATTTAAACTCTTATCTACAATTTTGAAGAACTACAAGAAGTATACGGTCATGTCAATTGGAAGGAGAATTTCGATTGCTCTTAGTTTATCATACTACTTGTTTGTGAATCCTCCAGCCTATGCAGACACAGAACGGGACACAATTTTGAAGGGACAGCCGCTCGAGGACTGGGAGTCCCTCAGTTCAGCAAACAAGGTATTCAGATTGAAGTTCTTCAGCCCACGAAACTCAAGTAGGCGGTTGGTCATAGGTTCGAATCTCAACAGAACCATTTTCATTCAGATGATAGAGAATGCAGGGGATTATATTAACAGCTTTAAAATGCAGGGGAAACGGCACAATACAAACACATGGGCTTTGATCTTTCCTGCTTAAGAAGTAAAAGTCTGTTTATTTATATTAATTTTTATGTATTTCAAATGCATACCGTCATTTAACAATCTTTTCAATCATTATAAGTGACGAACATCTCTGCGAAACCCTTTCCCCACACGTTAATCAATAAAATTAGGGTCCAATGGAAATTTGAAACGTGTATGCTTATTTTGGAAGTGCGTTATGAAATGGGCGTTGCCTTATGATCTATTATTGTAGCCAAAAATGCCGTAACAATTAGGGCAATAGTTGATAGTGATTTTGTTTGTTAGACTCTGTTGTCAAATCAATTTCCCAGTCCTCAACACAGTAGACCAGGCCAATTGATATTTTGTGTAGTGTTTGGTTTGTCATAGTTAAGATTGATAGAAGAGAGGAGTAGTGGACCTACGGAGACTTTCTTCTAATCCACGCTTCACGTTATGCTTCGGAGATAAGTTCCACATTTGAATTAGAATACTACTTTTAGGACTTGATTGAGAATACGAAACTCTGTCATCATCAATTATTGTTCGGGAATTTAAACTCTTATCTACAATTTTGAAGAACTACAAAGAAGTATACGGTCATGTCAATTGGAAGGAGAATTTCGATTGCCTTTATTTTATCATACTACTTGTTTGTGAATCCTCCAGCCTATGCAGACACAGAAAGGGACACAATTTTGGACGGGCAGCCACTCGAGGACCGGGAGTCCCTCAGTTCAGCAAACAAGGTATTCAGATTGAAGTTCTTTAGCCCACGAAACTCAAGTAGGCGGTTCCGGGCAGCCACTCGTGGACCGGGAGTCCCTCAGTTCAGCAAACAAGGTATTCAGATTGAAGTTCTTAAGCCCACGAAACTCAAGTAGGCGGTATTTAGGCATATGCTACAACACACCACCTGATTATGGGGAAGCCAATCTTCCACTTTATGATCGGACAGTGTGGGTGGCCAACCGTGACACTCCAATTGTTGATGCATCAGGGAGTCTTATGATTGACAATGATGGCAAGTTGAAGATTACTTCCAGTAGAGGCGATGTACCCAGTGTTTTTAATTCAGTCCACGGAACCAATAGTAATTCAAGTGCAACACTGCTAGATAATGGCAATTTTGTACTGAGAGAACTGAATCTAGATGGTTCTGTAAACCGAACCTTGTGGCAAAGCTTTGATTACCCTACAGACACGATTCTACCTGGAATGAAGCTAGGTATCAATTTCAAAACTGGGCATCAGTGGTTGCTCACTTGTTGGATAAGCAAAGAAGCACCATCGTCAGGATCATTTGCCATTGGTGGAGACCCAAATGGCACAAACCAAAATGTAGTATGGTATCAGGGAAATGTGTATTGGACTAGTGTGAATTGGAGCAACGGACATTTTGGCAATCTTCCCAAATTACTTGATGGTGAATTCCGCTACGTTTCAAATGAGAACGAGAAGTACCTTACATATTCAGTAAATAAGAATATCTCTTTCCTTTATTTCAGAATAGATCCAGTTGGTGTCATGATGGGAATAGTATTAGGATCCTTTGGTGATTGTTCTCTTGCGAAACAGGACGAGGGATGTGTGAAAAAGACATTGCCTGAGTGTAGGAAGCCTGATTATTGGTTTGAGAGTAGGGCAGGTTACATGCTTGGTGATGGTTACAGATACGGTGAAAACTACAACCTGAGCATCTTTGATTGTCAGGACAAGTGTGAGCAGAATTGTTCTTGTGTTGCTTATGCTTCTCGCACCACCCTATATGGAACTGGTTGTGAGATTTGGAGTAAAGAAACTAACTTCTACCCATCAGGATATGCAGACAGGGAGATTTACATTCTTAAAAGGGATACAGGGAGAGGTTAGATTTACATTCTCATCGTTTTTGCAAAAATCAAGTCTACCATGCATGGTTTTTTTTTGCAGATAACCCAATTTAGGTGCAATAGCACAGCTCAATATATGCAGGGTGTTTCTGATATTCTAAATACGAGCTCATTATCAGTAATCAACTCTTTCTGTTACTCTTTCGTAGAATCCACCAATGATCATGGGAAGCACGGATCGGCAGCTGGGCACTGGTGGGTATGGCTCATTACTGCATTGGGTGGGACAATATTACTGGCATTCAGCATAATTTGCTATGTTGTACAGCGAAACCTCCGAGTAAAAGGTGAGTACTTAGACCAAATTGGATATTCAATATATATCATGTTATTTGTCTGTCCATATCTTACTTATTGTATTTGTCTACAAAGTGAAAACAAGAACATTGCTAGATGAGCTGGAAGTTTCTATCACAGCTTCAGGCAAATACGGCCAACCCAGTGATGAAATGGATAAGATGACCCAAGTGAATTTTTTCAGCTTTGAGAGCATTGCCATGGCCACAAATAATTTCTCATATGAAAATAAGCTTGGAGAGGGGGGGTTTGGACCTGTTTTTAAGGTAAGTTTTTTCTAAAGGACTCTTTAAGGTAGCATAAATTGAGATATCAATGGTTAGCCAATTTTTCAGGGAGAATTACCTGGTGGACAAGAGATAGCTATAAAAAAACTTTCGCAAAGTTCAGGACAAGGGCTGACAGAGTTCAAAAATGAGATTCAACTGATAGCCAAACTCCAACACACTAATCTTGTTAGGCTTTTGGGATGCTGCATTGAAGGGGAAGAAAAAATTTTAGTATACGAGTACATGCCTAATAAAAGCCTAGATTTTTTCCTCTTTGGTATGTAGTGTAAAGCTTTGACTATCTTCGTTTAATTCTTTTGTCAAGTTGTTTAAGTTGATAGCATGCCTAGTATTTTCTGTACAGATTCGAGCAGAAGAGAATTACTTAATTGGACTGACAGAATGAACATTATAGAAGGAATTGCTCAAGGACTACTCTACCTCCACAAGTATTCAAGGTTGAGGGTGATTCATAGAGATTTGAAAGCCAGCAACATCTTGCTTGATCACAACATGAATCCAAAAATATCAGATTTTGGCTTGGCTAGAATCTTTGGGGTGCAACAAACTGAAGCAAACACCAAAAGAATCGTCGGAACATAGTAAGTAAACAATATTAATTGATGAACATGCACTTATTAAGTATATGCAAGTATCACCTAAAGTATATTTATTCATTATTTCAGCGGATACATGTCTCCTGAGTACGCCATGAAAGGCATTGTGTCAATGAAGTCCGATGTATTTAGTTTTGGTGTTTTACTGCTTGAAATTGTGAGTGGCAAGAGAAATTATAGCCGCTACCCATCGGAGCACCCGTTCAACCTCATAGGATTTGTGAGTCCCACTTTATTATATATAGATACTTTAACTATCTTCTTCTCTCTTCTTTAAATCAAGTCTCTCTGCATGACAACTTGTCGTATCTCAGGCATGGGAGCTTTGGATGGAAAAAAGAGTTCTAGAGCTAATGGATTCAAGATTGGATGATTCGAGCTCAAAGAATAAAATCGTAAGATGTATTAATGTGGGTCTGTTATGCGTTCAAGACCAGGCCAAAGACAGGCCCTCCATGACAGAAGTGGTTTCTATGCTTACAAACGACAGTGCACGCGTGCCGGTACCAAAACAACCAGCATTCTTCATTGAGAGCGGTGCACGAGAAGGGGAACTTGAAACCAACTTAGTAAATAATTGCACCAATGTAATGTCAATTACAGTGATGGAAGCTAGATAAGAGAACTTTTTATAGAAGAGTATTGTTCACTAAAAGAGACGAGATTTTAAATGGTCTTCTTTAATCCCTTCCATTATTCTCCGTTCTTGCTTACCAAAGATACACTAATGTCATGTTTTGATAGGGATAAAGAGCATATTATCTATAATAGAAAGATTTTAGCTTATGTTTTATTCTTTATTATTGTTCCGTAGCCGTACAATAGACCTTATGGGCAAGTCAACTCTGTATGTGGATGTCGTAGTACTGTGGCTACTAATTCTTTATTCTCAAGAAGCTTAGCAGGCATTGATTGTATTGTACCCCTGCTGCAGATGTGGAGCTGATTTGATGAGGGACTACCAGCTCAGTTTATTTTGCTAATAACTGATTTTGGCAGTTAAATCTCCACTCTGTCAATGTCCGTTATTTGTTAGTTGGTGTTCACAAGCAAAATTAACAAATTCTTAGTGTGTAATATTCTTGTTTTCATCATTTGAATAAAACCTGCACGTATGCCTAGCTCTGGAGAAATTTCTATAATGGGCGAAAGCCGACAGAGTAATACTACATAGAGGTAGAAGGCTTACAGGTCATGAACTTCTTTTTCAATGACCGTTAATTCTGTGTCAACAATTGTCAGATGCAAGCATCATTCGAAATGATTGGGCACAATTTTTAAGTCCACCATCAAATCCCGAGTGGTGAAAACTACCAAGCTCGATGAAATGCGTGGATGTTGGAGTATTATCTCCAAACCACGTAAATTTGTGGTGTTCTCAAAATTGTTCACTTAATCAAAGCTTGCCAAACTTCTTGCACTGTTGTGTAATTTAGTCGAGTAAGAATGTTTGAATATGTTTAAAAGTTATTTTTTTGGTATACATTAATAAAAATATAATTTTAAATTAAGTTTGAGGAGTAAATAAATTTCACTTAATTTTAAATGGTGAAACATGCTAAGGGCAAGTCGCTCGGCTCTTGTCCAAGATGAGTACAGCAGCAAATTTTTTGTGCGAACCGCTCATCAGCTCACATGATTTGGGTAAGCAAGATGGCTTGCCATAATTAGTAAAAGAAAAAATTGCCGCAGCTGTCCCCAATCTTTTCAATTTTTGCAGACTTCATCCTAACCTTCAATTTGTTCAAGTGAAGGTCCCTAACCTTTCATAAAATATGCATTAGAGGTCCAAATTGAGGGAAACCATCCACTTGACCGTTAGTTGACAAAAAAAATTAACCTTGACAACAATTTTGACTAATTTTAAAACGACAAAATGATAATTTTACATTTTTTAAAAATAAATTTAAATAAAAAAACCTAAAAACTAAAAGAAATTTACCCCAACCACACATGAAAATTAGAAAGGCCGATGGTCGGCACCTTTTCCAACTCCCACCCACACAGGTGGGCACAATGGCGGATCGCCATCGCCATCGCCTCCCAAAGGCAGTCGCCACCATCCAAATGTCAAAACCAAAAATCAAATCAAACCTAATAGAAATTGAAGAAACTGGAACCTCATTTGTGTGTTGAAGAAACCGTATCAATCGGAGCTATTTTGGATGATGTCTTACCATGAATTGGAGCACTTAGGTGAGGCGAATCGGCTGGTAGTGGTGCACGACCGTGGGTGTTATCGGAGTTGTCGAATTTTGTTGTTGAACCACGCGACTCCCATGGTTTTAAAGGCTGGTTTTGATTTCCATATGATGTTGTTTGTCTAATTAATTGTGTGAGACCCATTTGTCGAAAGAGACCGTCGGCTAGGGGATGAAATTCTGGCAGATTGGGTGGCCGGTAATGGCTGGGTTTTTTCTGATTTCAAATTGGGTGGTCGATGGTGATTGTGTTTTCTCTAGTTTGGGGTGGGTGGAAGGTGGAGATTTTTATTTTTTTTAAATTTAATTTTTAACTTATTTTAGGGATAATATGTAAAGTTACCATTTTGTACTTTTTAATTTGGTCAAAATTAATCACATTTTGATTTTTTTGGTCAACTAACGGTCAAGTTGATGATTTCCGTCCATTTGGACCTCTGCTACATATTTATGAAGTGTTAGAGACTTTCACTGGCACAAACTGAATGTTAGAGTAAAGTTTGAAAAAAAAAATTGAAAATGTTAGGGACCTTTGCTACAATTTTCCCTTAGTAAAAATATACAATTACGGACGGTAACGAGCAGAGTAACTCGACTCGACTCATCATTTAACACCTATACGTATTGCTGTGCCCTCGTCACCAAGGGCAATAATCTTTTTCTCCATGTCAGCCAAATTGCTAGTGAGTAAATTATTGGTTAAATTTAACTCAATCACTAGAGGCCGAACACAGCTCTTTTAAACTCGATCAATTTTTCACTGTCACTTCTGGAAATGGCACACAAGTTACGCGGCCACGTTGGGACTTAAGATCTTTGCTGCACAAGTAATTGTAATGGATCTCAAGAAGAAGTACAATCATGCTACATGTACTTCATCTTTGCTATCATAGTTTACATTATACCACATAGCAACATACTATTAGACAGTTTAAAAAAAAACACATTTGAAAACAAAGGAGATGTAAACAATGATGTAAAGAAATAATATACATTTAGCATTGTTGTTTTGATTATGAATTTGGACGTCCGTTACAAAATGGGCATTGATTATAATCTGTTGATTGATGAAGATGTCCATTTTTTTTCCCAAAAATGCCGTGACAATTAGGGAGTTAGTGACAATGGTTCTGTTTTAATTGGTAGACTCCATGGTAATTTTGTCAAGTCAATTTGTCATCGTTTAAACACAGTCAACAGACCCCTCTTGATATTTTTTGTAATGTTAGTTTTATCTCAGATATGAAAACGCTTATCTAGATGTTTGAACAATGCAAAACTACCATTCATGTCAACCGAAACAAGAAATTTCGTGATTCTTACTTTGTCGTGCTACTTGTTTTTGAATTCTATGGTCTGTGCAGGCGCAGAAAGAGACTCAATTTTACGAGGTAGGCAGCCACTCAGGGATTGGGAATACCTCAGTTCAGCAAACAAGGTGTTCAAATTGGAGTACTTTAGCCCGGGAAACTCAAAAGTCCGTTATTTAGGCATATGTTACAACACACCACCTGATTATGGGGAAGCCAACCTTCCACTTTATGATCGAACCGTGTGGGTGGCCAACCGTAACAATCCGATTGCCGATGCATCAGGGAGTCTTTTCATTGACACTGATGGAAAGTTGAAGATTACTTCCAGAGGAGGCGATATTACAAGTGTTTTTAATTCAGCCCCAGTAGCCAGTAATGACGCAAGTGCTATACTGCTAGATAATGGCAATTTTGTTCTGAGAGAACTGAATCCGGATGGTTCTGTAAACCAAACCTTGTGGCAAAGCTTTGATTATGCTACAGACACGATTCTACCTGGAATGAGGATGGGTATCAATTTCAAAACAGGGCATCAGTGGTCGCTTACTGGTTGGATAAGCAAAGAATCACCATCATCAGGTTCATTTACCATTGGTGGAGACCCAAATGGCACAAACCAATTGATAATATGGTATAAGGGAAATGTGTATTGGACTACTGGCATTTGGAACAATGGACGTTTCGCCAACCTTGCCAAATTACTTGATGGTGACTTCAGTTTCGTTTCAAATGAGAACGAAAAGTACCTTACGTATTCAGTAAATGAGAATATATCTTTCTTATATTACAGAATAGATCCATCTGGTATCGTGATGGGAATAGTATTAGGATCCTTTGGTGATTGTTCTTTCTCAAAACCGGATGGAGGATGTGTGAAAAAGACATTGCCTGATTGTAGAAAGCCTGATTATTGGTTCGAGAGTAGGGTGGGTTACATGCGGGGTGATGGTTACAGATTTGGTGAAAGTTACAACCTTAGTATTTTTGAGTGTCAGGAAAAGTGTGAGCAGAATTGTTCGTGTGTTGCTTATGCTTCTCGCACCACCCAATATGGAACTGGTTGTGAGATTTGGAATAAAGAAACGAACTTCTACGCATCTGGATATGCAGACAGGGAGATTTTTGTTCTTAAAAGAGATACAGGGAGTGGTTAGATAATAATTTTTTTTATTTTTTTATCTTCTGTAGTACAAAATAAACTAATTATATACCATGCTTTGTGCTTGTTTTAGAATAAATTAAATCCATGGGAGTACGGATTTTTTTCCTTTCTTTCTTTTGGGGGAGGATGATCTTGACTTACACCAGTAAAATTAGAGAATTCTATAAATTGCTTCTAAACTATAGAGTGAAGAATCGATTCTACTAAGAGAATAACATTAGAAACAAGAGTATATGTAAGCAAGAAAAATAGGACCGCAGGCTTTTTGTCTTCAGTATTTAAGGGATGCTTTTCTCTAAAGAGATACTAAGCGAATACTTGTGTATTGCTATGCATATTTATATCATGGTTTTGCACCTCTTAAATACTAATTTGTTACTTTTCTGTAGAATCCACTTATGTTCGTGAGAAGCACAAACTGGCAGCTAGAAAGTGGTGGATATGGCTTATTACTGCATTCGGTGGGACAACATTACTGGCATTCACCACCTTTTGCTTTTTTAACGTCCGAGTAAAAGGTAAGAACTTAGACCAAATTAGAAATTGGATTCAGATCGTGTCTTTAAGGATTCGTCTGTCCAAATCTTACGTATCATGATGGTCTACAAGGGATGGTCAGAACAAAAGCACGAATACTGCTAAATGAGCTCGAAGATACTATCACTGCTCCAGGCAAATACAGCCAATCCAGTGATACAATGGATAAGAAGATGAGCCAAGTGAACATTTTCAGCTTTGAAAGTATTGCCATGGCCACAAACAATTTCGCCGATGAGAATAAGCTTGGACAGGGGGGCTTTGGACCAGTTTATAAGGTAAGCTTTTTCACTGCAGGAACTCTTAAGGTAGTATAAGTTGAGATATCAATGATTAGCTGATTTTTTAGGGAGCATTACCTGGTGGACAAGAGATAGCTATAAAAAGACTTTCAAGAAGCTCGGGACAAGGGCTGACAGAGTTCAAAAATGAGATTCAATTGATAGCCAAACTCCAACACACTAATCTTGTTAGGATTTTAGGATGTTGCATTCAAGGGGAAGAAAAAATTTTAGTATATGAGTACATGCCTAATAAAAGTTTAGATTTCTTCCTCTTCGGTACGTTTTAAAGCTTTGACTATGTATTCAAGATTTTCAATTCTTTTGTGAAAGCTATTTTAGTTAATAGCGTGCCTAGTATTTTCTGAACAGATTCGAGCAGAGGAGAATTACTAAATTGGACTGACCGAATGAACATTATAGAAGGAGTTGCTCAAGGACTACTCTACCTCCACAAGTATTCAAGGTTGAGGGTGATTCATAGAGATTTGAAAGCCAGCAACATCTTGCTTGACCACAACATGAATCCAAAAATATCAGATTTTGGATTGGCTAGAATCTTTGGGGTGCAACAAACTGAAGCAAACACCAAAAGAATTGTTGGAACATAGTAAGTAAACAATATTAATTGACAAACAATCACATATTAACAATATGCAAGTAACCCCTAAATTATATTTATTTATTATTTCAGCGGCTACATGTCTCCTGAGTACGCCATAAAAGGCATCGTGTCAATGAAATCTGATGTATTTAGTTTTGGAGTTTTACTACTTGAAATTGTGAGTGGCAAGAGAAATCATAGCAGCCACCCATTGGGGCACCACCCGTTCAACCTCATAGGACTTGTGAGTCCCTCTTTATTATAGATAAATATCTTTTCGTTTCTTTTTTGAATCAAGACTCTCCTGATTTAAAAGAATTAGTGTAATTTCTATCTTTACTCGACAACTGGTCATATCTTAGGCATGGGAGCTTTGGATGGAAGGTAGAGTTCTAGAGCTAATGGATTCAAGACTGGATGATTCGAGCCACGAGGATGAAATCATGAGATGTATTAATGTGGGTTTGTTATGCGTTCAAGATCAGCCCGGTGATAGGCCGTCCATGACAGATGTGGTTTCAATGCTTACAAATAGTACGGTGCAACTGCCGGCACCAAAACAACCATCATTCTTTACTGAAAGCAGTTCACAAGAAGGGAAAAGTGAAATTACGACAGAAAATTATTGCTCCAATATATTGTCAATTTCAGTAATGGAAGCTAGATAAGGTTATGTATAACAATATTTGAAAGTGTAACATACAAGATTTTAACTTCGTTTCCTTTAATTACTTTGAATTCTTACAAATCAGGCATACCATATGCAATAACTAGACGTGATTAGAGTAAAACAGTTAAGATTTTAGTGGCTTCGCTTATTACCCTTATTCTGTCCAGTAATGTATAGAATCCCTTATGATGAATACACTTATCTTCCACTTTGAAAATGTATGACGTTTTCTTTAGAGAATGGTCAGATATATGATAATACAATGATAATGCATGTATTTCGATTAAGATTTCAATAATCAGAAATTCTATCTTTTTTTAACCATAAAATTCTAAACTAAAGAGTTTTGTGTAGACGTATCACTAGTCTTAGAGAGATTGAATGTACAAGTGTGGATGATTGAACAAGAATGATGATTCATTTAATATTGATCCATGTTGAGCGAAAGTGAGAATAGACTACAACAGCATAACCCGCATAATAACATTCAATTACAAGAGAACACTCATTAATTTGGTTTTCTATGATATCATTTAGGGAAAAAGTACACCGGCTAAAGAATCAACCATGTGCTTTGGTAGATGTTACTTAATTCTCATGCTCTTGTATAGGACCTCGCCAAACTTCTGGTACATGTGCTTCTTCAAGTACTTTTTCTCTACTTCCTCTCTGCCTTTTGTTCCCATTGCCTGCCGCACGGATACGTTCTCGAGCAGAAATCGAAGATGTTTTGCAAGAACTTGAGCACCCGGACGCCCCAAAGGATGGAGTAAACCGCTTACATTGTGTTTCACAATCTCTTTTGTGCCTCCCGAATCCGTTCCCAGAACCTGCACACCACAATATGGGAAATGGGGAGGATGTCAAGACCTGTTATGCTCTTTTTGAAACATTCAACTTCAAGAATTCACTATTCAAAACATTGAAAATCCCAAATAATGGCCATCAAACAAGGGCTATATATATTCTATCTTATCCAGTAATGACAAACACAGAACTAGGTTTAGAAAGGTGATGGATCACACTGGAAATGGAAGTGCGAGATATCTTCCAATTTCTTTATGATGTGTTTGGTAAGCAGGAGCATTGAATAACATTGGCCATTATTAAGGAAGAAAAGAAGCTAAAATCTTTGTTTATTATATCATCTAGTCCTATCCAATACTACATGCCAAACATGCACTTAATGCATCTGGAGAGGAAAATGTCAACAAGCTGGACACAATTACGTATACAGATGCTAGAAAATTTTATATTAATTTTGGGTTGGGATTTAGGATTGCAATTTGAAACTAGAACTAACATGAACATATATGAAGCTAATTTACGTGAAGATGCAAAGTTTGTGCTCTTAGATATGGCTGTTGTATAATAAAATACAAACCAATGACCATCGTCATTTAATGAGATGCATAAAATGAGCAGAATTGAGTGCCATACTGGAAGTCCAAATGACATTGCTTCAATTGTTACTCTTCCAAATGTTTCTCCAAGTCCCTGCAATGTACAAATAGCTGATGTTGTAAATTATGAAGAAAGCATAGTTCTCAGACAAAACGATTGACCATGAAGTAAATATTATAAGGATAAACAGCATTACAAGATCCTCACAAATCATCAACAATATAAAATAACTTGAATGTTTGAATAGATGTATTATCTTTATCTTAAATGAAAAAAGACAAATTATGGACGTGTATCAAGTTCTCATTCATCTAGCATATTCAGATGGTCTCTCCCAGTTCATCAAGTATATGTTTTCAATACTTTCCTGTCATTTGTTTATTGCAACTTGGAGGTAAATGCCAAATTCTCCTACCACATTGTATAACATGTTTCCATGTGAAAAACATGCAAACCTACATCTAACAATGATGACGAGAAATTCAAATGATGCATGAACTGTTCACCGATTTAATCAAATAGACATTGCATTATGGAGTGGCAATAACATTACAAAGGAAGAAAGCATTACTGATTTTATGTTCACCTGTCTGCGTTACAGGGGAAATATTTGTCAGAAGGAAGGTAGAAAAAGCTGGTCAATGTGTGACTTAATCACTTAATAGCGAAATGAGAGAAGCACATAAAGAGAACTCAACCATTGAAGGAACCACCAAATTTACCAGAATCAGTTATATATCTCATCGTGCTGCTGTCCATTTAAGGCTGTTCTTAATTTTCTTTAAATCCTATTTTCCTTTCCCCTCCCTGTTTCCAGAAATACAGGGGAATTCCTTTCCTATAAATGTACTATTTTTTCCTTGAGTAGATCTGCTACTATTCCAGCTGTTCCCCATAGATTAAAGTAATAAGTTTTGAATCACATTTTGCTCAATAGATCATAAGGTATATTAGAAAGGACTTCACCAACTAAACCACCTGATCTTGCCCTAGGCTTAAAAACCATCCTCTAGAAAATGGCCTCGCCACTGCATGCAATCAATCACTATTTCTAATGAAAGATCCAATGCACATCGAATCCTTCACAACCACATCAGCCCATGTTACTTTCATGTACCTCTCTCAGTTTTGACCGATTCCACTCTGATGCATCACCATGCCATCCTTAGCAAAGAAAAAATTTCAGTACGACATCTACTTTTCGAATTAATCCATTTCATTTTCTGATGCATAAATTGCTTCCATATATCATTATTTTCTGACTATTACCCTAAAGGAATTTCCACCTTGAAGTAAATTAATTAATAAAGTAGTTATTACCAGAAGTTCAATGTTTTTAAGTCAGAGATCCACGTAAGAGCTAATTTTTATATTCTCTTTTACTGGCTTAATATTTGAAGGACTAGAATTGAACCATTAAATATGTCTGCATATGAGATTGTTGAGTTCCATCCAAGCAATAGCAACAATTTGCATTTAGTCGCCTTGCTTCATGTTGCAAAATGCAAATAAGTGAACAGAGTTGGAAGGAAGGAGAAAAGATAGGCAGTCACATTATACATGCCACAAATGCTAATTAATTCATATTTTATTAGCTTGTTCTAAAATGTTAAATAGTAAGTCATCTACAGTGGATTGTTATCTTTTCCCAGCAAGAAGAAGGTAAGTGAAAATGTGAGGGAACGAAAATGGAGATAAGCATTTCGCATGTAATAAATATGGAAGTATGAGTTGAATACTACATCAGAAACTCTCTTTAAGTATGATCAAAATCCTAGTATATATTCAAGCAATTAACAAAAGAGGAGATTATGTTATTTACTTGAAAATTTACAGGAGAAATGAGACATTATCATAACCAAACAAAAGCAACCCAAAGTTAATGCTCAAGCTGCAAACGCTTCTAAAACATGAACAAGCAGATACATTAATCTCACATTGAAAACTAGAATAAGTACCTGAGAGTTCATAACATAGACATCTGCAGCGGCATACAGAGAGGCAACATGAGTAGTTGCAGGAGTCCACAATACTGATTTTGACAAGTTCACGTGCAGAGATAGATGTCTAAGAAGTGCTTTGACATAAACCACCTTATTGCTTTTAGATCCTACCGAACCTATGAGAACCTTAAGCTTCTGTTCCTGCCGTTCAACTCTCTCGGACGACAGTTTTCTCATGCTGGCATCTCTGTCAAATGTCACCAAATTAGGAATACCCCTCTTGGTGAAATGACGGGGAAACTTTTTATATTTCCTTGTAGTTTTACCAAAATCTAAAGAAGTTCCATTGGAGATGATAGAGTTATTGGAGGATCCAACAACTCTTTTCCAATTTTGAAGCAATGCCCTTGAATAATAATCATGGCCCCTTTCTGACAAATCTCCAATTCCAGAATCATGTAGCGGTCCTTGTTCATTCATCAAACGTGCTGATTCCAGAAGCAAGAATTGACCCTTTCCAGGATTTATACTGCTTAAGGAGATCACAAGCATATCGTTATCAGTCAATCCCATGTCTTTTCTAACTGAACTTCTCAATAACTGTCTCTTCTCCAGCATCTTCTCTATACTGAATGATGGAGTATTTAGTGAGCAAGAAATGCCTGCTACAAAAGCCAGCTCATCCCTGACAGAAAGTGGAACCAGAGCAGACTCAGATTTCAATTTGATGTTTTCTTCCTCACACCAGGCTAGCCACTGTTTAGACTGTAATTCAGAAAGAAAAATCAGCTTTTTCACTTGGTTGAGGACAGGCTTTGACCGATCAAAATACTCTCTTCGGTTTTCCATGATCCACCAGAGGATTTGACTAGAACCAAGCACAGTACGTGACAAGTATTGTTCTGTAACCACAACATGATCATTATCCATTCGACTAAAAGAAACAGTAATAAAAGTTTTCTGATTTTTTCCAGAATTGATTAGTTTAAAAAAGAAACTTACAAATCAAACTCCAATCAAGTAAAGAGACCAACAGATGATACAGTGGTACAATATTTATTTATTACTGTCTTTTTTTTATTGCCGATTCAGAATGTAAAAAATATTTTCTCTTGACTATCAAATCCAAGAGAGATCTTAACATACAAGGGGCATATGTGATGCTATTCCTTGTACAGCTCTTCCTTCAAGTGCCACCCTATTGCTAAACAGCGTATGACATCATAGATTATAAAGGAATCTTTGGGGAATGAAGAATTTCATGAACTTTAATGATCAGACTAGGAGCATTTGAATTTATCACCCTCAGCCAACCTAATGCGACAAAACTTTCCACTTAGCAATAGAAAATGTAGCATGTTTATTTAATCTCACATTCATTACCACAGGAGTTCATCAGAAGAAAATAAAGGACGCATCACGGTAAAGAAGAATAGCAGCTCGACATTATGTTACAATTTACAAGAGAATAAAATAATAAGGGGAAAACATTAATAGTATTTCACACACACCTGAACCAAACATGAATTCTTATGCTCATTTACTAAATGGAAATAATCACTATGACATATCAAATGAATTATAATAAGTATTTTCAAAAAGTAAATGATTGATGACAAAAAAAATATTTTATCACATGTTTCACAGAACATCAAGAAGCGCTTACCAATCCAGGATGAACAGACTGCTGAACCTGCAATAATGAGATCTGCTTTCATGGCAGTTTTGAAGCTGAGGTCTGTTTTGTCCTCAAGCACTTTGATTTTTCTTCGAGCAAGTTCTGGCATTAGACCGCCCTTCTTGTTAAGGACTATAACAGAAATGGTGGCTCCACAACTCAAAAACTCTGTTGCCAACTCCATCATCGCCAGTGGGGCGCCAGTCATGGAGAGCTCGTGAAATATCAAAACAAACTTTCTAGACCAAACAAGACGTGCGAAAGCACCCTTCCTGTCACAGGTACCTGACCTTTTCTCGGGACTCCACTCCAAAATCCTTTCCTCTATGGAACTAAATGGACCAACCAAAAGTCCGTAAGTCGTATTTCGCTTTGGAATTTCCTCTTCCTGCACATCGATACCACTGTCTACAACTTCCACTGCCACCTTCGGCTTACTATGGGTCTTCCTACGTGAATTACGTCCTGATTTCTTGCCTTTCTTCTTTGATGATATATTACTATTTGTTGAATCACCATTATCCTTCTTTGTCAAAACCACATCCAGATTCTTCAAACTTGACTGATTTGTATCATTTCGTAATTTAGCTGCCCAAGAACCCTCATTACCAATCAAGTCCCTTCTATTTTTCAGTTGTGCCTCTGAATTCCCATCACTTGATTCACCTCCATAACCACCACTGAAAAGCGCTTCTTTATTATTCCCATGAGCCCACATTGACTGGAAATAGAATCCACCATAAGTCCAGAGAGTGATCAAAAGCAACCATGGCACAATGCGGTTACTTCTGAACCACTGAGGACTCACCCCACCATTCTTGCCGTCTCTTCTTGGAGTTCTGCTGGAGTTCAATCTTCTAAATGAAGGGGAACCCCTCGGTGTTGATCTCCCTGACAATGTGGACTTCAAGGCTCCACCACCAGGCCTCAACGATGACTGTCTCACAACATTGCCTTCCTCCATCACTCAATTATCAACTACTCTTATATTACAAATTATAAATGCTGTACAACAACATAAAAAAATTTTCACCCTCCAAAAATACAAGATATCCCTAGGATTTAATGATGTGCGAGCACACGCGCCCTAAATTTCTTTGATATAATCTTTTCTGCCAGCTTTCTTGAATATAAATTCTGTGAAAAGCAAAGAAAACTGAAATAGTTTCATTTTCTTTACCACAAATTAATAATACTCCTCTGCTATTACCTGCCAAGAAAATGGAAAAACTAAAACAGTTACACATCGAGCTCAGTTAATAATTGATGGCGATTTTTTTATTTACATTTTTATCAATAAAATGTCAATTAAAGTATTGATGAGCTTCAAATCTTGAACAATTAAACTTGCACAACAACAAAAAAGTATGCTATAGTAAAATACTTTTGTTAATAATGACAACAACAATCGAAGAAATGAGAAAATAGTAAGATATAGAGAGAGAAAGAGTTGGTGATTTCGATTAATAGTTTATCAATTAAATATTTAAGAGATTTCAATCAAGAAAAAACAGTGCTGACGAACTTACAGTTGAGGATCTTGAATGCAAATCCAATTGTGCCGACAAAATCAAAGTTGATTTTCAATATCAATATTCTGTAATTTCTTGTTCTTGCGCTAAAGAATTGCTAGAGAGAGAAAGAATGGCAGAGAGTTGCCATAAGCTAAATTGGTGTAAACTGAAGTTGCAGTGTAAGCGCGATAGATATATAGAGAGTAAATACTGTTTATGAAAGAGGTCAGTAACTGAAGAGCAGCAATGGATCGCACGTGCGAGTACGCTCGTGTCAAATAGGTCTAGAAGAGGGAAGACCATCCTCAACGAATTGAAAATGAAAATATTTATCGTAAACGCGTCCGTGGAAAAATAAAAAATTCTTAAAATGAGTTACGGACAATCTTTGCTAGGCTATTACATGTCACAATCAATTTCAAAAACTTGTTGATAAATCCTTTAATACTTTCAAAATTCCAAATCTAAAAAAAACGAGAGTTTTTAGAGTAATAGAATGGAACTCTTCCGATTTAATATAGATCTAGAATAACATTCTTTCTTGGAGTTTGTTTGAGAGGGATTTTAATCAAATTAAAATTGAAAATATAGCTGTTATTGATCCAAATTTTGATCATATTTGACTAGAACCCCATAATACGAAAGGATCTTAAAAGTCAAGTTTTATTCATATAAAACTTCTTTTACGATTCGATCAAAATTAACTAACTTGATCAACTCGAATTCTGACAAGTCAAACTTGAGTTCGACTTCTGGTTTCGAGATATTTTTATTGGATTTTACATTCGACAACTTTGAACTAGCGGAAATTTTATGAAAGAGTGCTTTATAGTTATTTATGTTAATTTTCAGCTATTATCGTCAAGCTTTGACTAGTTCAGATTGATCCAAATTATAAATTGCTGAGTTTTGAGCTTTGTGAACTTGACCCAATGTAGCACGTTATACCAAAAATTAGCCATCTTTTGATACACGTAAATCAGGGAGTAAATTGACCAAACCAAAAACCAAGTAGTTGGGTTGGTTCAGTTTTAGGCCATATTTGGATCGGTTCACGTTGGGAATTCAAGAAATCGAAATCTTCAATTTGATTTCGGGTAGAGCTAAACATCAAACCATACAGCACGGGCCCACTCTTACAATTAGGGCTTGAATATTTTAACGAATATGTTTTCAAAAGCCTATAAAAAATCTTCATTTTTAAATAAATTTAAATGTTCTAGACTAACTCAGCCAAACCTACCGATTCATGTGTGGTTTGATTGGTTCTGTTTTATGGCCATGTTCGAGTTAGTTCGTATCGGAAATTCAAGAAATAGAACTATTTGTTTCAGTTATGGGAAATGTCAAAAAATGAATCAGACCCTATCATATTTATTTTGTTAAGATTTGAG